TGTGTGTGTGTGTGTGTGAGTGTGTGTGTGTGTGTGTGTGTGTGTGTGTGTCTGTGTGTGTGTGTGTGTGTTTAATGACCAGAACACCTCCGAGTTCATTAATTTGCTCTAATGGAGCCGCTTTCTGCTTCGCTCAGACTCAGATGACATTTGAAGTCTGATGCTTTACAGCACAGTTTCCTCAAAAGCTTTTGGGTTACGGGATCATCATGATTGACAGCGAGTGAAAAACAGCCATAACATTAACAGGAGCTTCATGTTCATAATAGAATAAAATACGGTCTTTTTTTTTAACCTGGTGTTTGCCAAATCAATCATCACCATTTTCACCTGCTGGACCATAAAATGCTTTCTGAAAAATGTAGTATTTCTAAATGCATCTTCACTCTAACAATATAGGTTTTGGCTCAGAAAGCTGTTGTGTTTAATACAAAGAATAATCAGCATCTCTTCTTGGTTTAATATCCGCTCATGATATGACAAATTGATCCGCTGGGATTCATTTGGAGCAGTTACTCACACATGAATAGAGTTGTAGGACTGTGTTATGCTGCGGTCTGAACTCCATCCTTTTCATTCACTGTGTGTGATTGTCAGTGTCTGAGGAGAGGAGGAATAAGGAGAGAGACACTTACTAACTAAATGCTTTCTGCTCACCAAGAGCAAAAATACAGTAAAATTATTAAATATTTTTTCTATTTAAAACAGCAGTTTTCTATGTGAATATCTGTTAAAATGTAATTTATTTCTGTGATGCGCAGCTGTATTTTCAGCATCATTCCTCCAGTCTTCAGTGTCACATGATCTTCAGAACTCCAGTCCACTAGGTGGCGCGTGTACAACTGAAAAACAAAACAAAGAACCATAAAATCATCTTTGTGTGCAGTATTAGCTCAAAAGGAGTGTGTATACACCATAAACTGTACAACATCCCAGTGCTTTTAGCTTACTACTGTTTGTATGTATGTAGTAATATAATATACTTCTATTCTGTTTACATTTTTCTGGATTCTGTTTTAGTGATTCAATTTTAAGAATCAAAAAACGAATTAATTGAAATCAGGAAACCTATACAACAGCTGTTTTCTACAGGCTTAACAACAATTAATCTTTTTAATTTGATGTTTTTCCAAATTCCATTTTATTTTTCCCAAATATTGTTTTTCATTTTTTTTCCTGATTTTTAAAAAATGGTTAAATTAAATTTGAGCAATCGAAAACATGTCTAATTAACGTTTTAAATGAACTAACTTTTACAATTTAACAACAATTACTTTTTAGGGCCCTATGAAATCAGTTATATTTTTCCCAAAATCTGTGTTTTTTGTTATAATTTTTTCCAGAATTTTGTTTTAATGGTTAAATAAAATTTTAGTAAAAAAAAAAACATGTCTATTTAATTTAAATTGGGGAAATGTATACAATTTAACAACAGAATATTAAATAAATTCAAATAAATTCAATAAATTTTTAATTTAAATGTATTTTTCCCTTTCAATTTTGTTTTATTTTCAATTTTTTTTAATGGTTAAATCAAATTTGAGTAAAAACCCAACTAATTGAAATCAGGTACAATTTAACAAAAGTTTATTAAAAGTGTAACAACAATTACATTTTTAGGGCGCTATGAGAACCGTATATTTGTTTTGTAATTTTTTTTTGACTTTTGTTTCAATGGTCAAATTAACTTGTATTAATAATAATAATAATAAATTATTTAACAACAGTTTATTAAGTTGCAATTACAATTTTAGGGTCCTATGAATTTGATTTTATTTTTTCAGTGTTTTTCATTATAATTTTTTACTTTTGTTTTAATGTTTAAATTAAATTTGAGTAATTATGTCTATTTTATGTCTAATTTTATTAAAAACAATGTTTAATTATTTGAAACCAGGAACCTTGTATATACTTTAACAACAGTTTATTCAAAGTTAACAAAATAAACAACAGTTACAATTTTAGAGCCCTGAAATTCCCCCAATTCTGTGTTTTTTATTGTTTCTGGATTCCATTTGAATGGATGAATTATGCTGTAATAATGAGAGAGCATGTCTAACCGTGGCGATGGCGTAGCGTCTGTGATGTTTGTTGGGGTGTGACTGAGTGCTGCTCTCTGGGCTCGCAGGGATCGAGCTGTGTTTGCCCGCGTGGCGTTTCTCCATGACTATGATCGCCAGTCTGATCATCGTGAGCGGTCAGCTGCTGATGCCCGGTCTGGCGGCGCTGTGCCGTGATTGGCAGATCCTGCAGAGCGTCATCATCGCACCGTTTGTGCTCATGCTGCCGTACGTCTGGTAAGATGCAATCAAACACATTAAAGCAATACTGATGCATGAGACACAAGCACTAGTGCAAATTAATGCACAGTTGAAATGCATGAGAAGAAAATCCTGTTGAATAATTCGAATGAATTTTAGCAGGTTGGTGGCCTATTAAATCTTTTAGTAGCAAGTAAAATAATTAGATAATTAATTTGTTTGTTAAATAATTAGTACTTTGGACAGATATTTTGACCATATGTGACCCTGGAGCACAAAAGCAGTCATAAGTGTCAATTTTATGAAACTGAGATTTATGCAGCATCTGAAAGCTAGCTTTCCATTGATGTATGGTTTGTTAGGATCGGACAATATTTGGCTGAGATACAACTATTTGAAAATAGATTAAAATACATAAAACTAGAGTAAAACAAAAATAGATTAAAACAAATAAATACATAAATAAAAGAAATTGACACATAAAATTAGATAAAAATAAATATATAAATAAAATCTGATTAAAATGAATAAATACATACACATTTTATTAAATACATTAAAAATATTAAAATAAATAAATACAAATTTGATTAAAAACTATTGATTAAATTATTTTTGTTTTAATCTATTTTATATAATTATTTATTAAAAAATTTGTATTTATGTATTTAATATAAATATTATTTATTATAAATAATATTTATTTATTGGAATAATTTGTAACACTTATTTTAATCTTATTTCATTTTATGAAACGAAAGTCTACAATCTGAGGGTGCAAAAAAATAAAAATATTGAGAAAATCATCTTTAAAGTTCTTAGCAATGCATATTACTAATCAAACATTAAGTTTTGATATATTTACAAAATATCTTCATGGAACATGATCTTTACTTAATATCCTAATGATTTTTGGCATAAAAGAAAAATGTATAATTTTGAACCATACAATGTATTTTTGGCTATTGCTACAAATATACCCCAGCAACTTAACACTGCTTTTGTGCTGCAGGGTCACATATAATTCCTTTATTTGAGCATTTTCTTTTTGGCACTGGTTCATTGTTTTAGTCTATAATCTATTTCACATTTAATCATCCTGAAACAACACATAAAAACAAGCAAAAACGTCTCGGTTACGTATGGTAACCCTCGTTCCCTGAAGGAGGGAACGGAGACGTCACGTCGGATGACCGACGAAATTGGGATCTAGCTTAGAGGGACCAATCTACTTCGAGTGTAAACTAAACGAGCCAATGCACATTGGCATGCGATTATTGCATCCAGCTGCTGCTGATCACAGCGTGAGTATAAGTAGGCAGCAGATGCAGCGCATATTCAGGTTTTCGCGGAGGAACCGAGCCGGTGACCCGGCCGCTCAGCGGTGGTACAGGAGCTGTGGCGACGGGACATGATGTCTACGTTCCCTCCTTCAGGGAACGAGGGTTACATACGTAACCGAGACGTTCCCTTTCAGTCGGTCACTCTCGACGTCACGTCGGAGGACCGACGAATTGGGATCCTACCAAAAGGCCACAGCTACTGCCCCTTCCAGTGTCCTGTGGAAGCCACCTGCGCCCCTACTTTTTGGAGTAGGCCAGGGCCTGCACAAGAGGACCAGCTACTGCTACTATGGCACTAC